TTCCACTAGTAACTAGCAGAGGTTCATGTGAAAGCTCCCAATCCCCTGCTCTATCCTGACTCATAGTCATCAACCATTATGACTCGACGTTATAGCCATTAACCTATTATCGGCTCAGGATGATGATGATGATGATGCTGTTTAACACCACCATCTTATGATGCCTAGTACTAGTAGTATACCAATATAATATTGACAACACCAAGCTGACGAAAGGTAGTTACTAGAAACCACCAATAGGACACTACTTCTTCTGGGTATGATTCCAAAAACGACTATCACGATTTATCACCACGTTGTATTGATTACAATCCTGATGGATACTCTAATGAGAAGCTACCTAACCAGTAGTAGCTGATGTTGCCAACTTCAATGACTTCTCCTTAGCATCGTTAAGATCACCAACAAGGAAGAATGCTGCCTCAGGAATATCATCACAATCTCCTCTCAGAATGGCTGAATAATAATAATAATACTACAACAGGGCAGCAGCGAGTAGTAGCAAGTGATGATGATGATGATGCCTACATTGAAAAGCTGAAATGGTATCTGGTAAGTCAACATAACGTCCAGGGAGACCAGTAAAGTTCTCAGCGACGAAGAAGGGCTAAAAGTGAAAGGGTGATAAACAAGAAAAACAAGTGTTAGCAGTAGCATGCTCTAACTACTAGTACTACTACCTGTGAGAGGAACTTCTGCATCTTCCTTGCACGGGATACAGTAAGTTTATCATCTTCCGAGAGCTCATCCATACCTAGAATGGCTATGATATCCTGCAAGGACTTGTAATCTTGGAGGACCTAACAACATCATCATTATCACTCTCATGTTATTGTTGATGATCCTGTACTACCTTCTGGACTGCACGAGCAACATCATAATGTTCTTGTCCAACAATGGAAGGGTCAAGCATACGACTGGTAGAATCCAGTGGATCAACAGCAGGATAAATACCAAGTTCAGCAATATGACGACTTAATACAGTATTAGCATCTAGATGTGCAAAGGTAGTAGCTGGTGCTGGATCAGTGAGATCATCAGCTGGTACATAAACAGCCTATAAAGAAGAGAGGAGATAACAACACTAGGAGGAATAGTAGTACTAGTTTACCTGTACAGAAGTAATAGAACCATTCTTAGTAGTGGTAATACGCTCCTGTAAGGCACCAAGATCTAAAGGCAACATTACCAAGAAGACATCACCATTGGCCACCTGTAGGTACCTGTAGCTAGAGTAGGCTGATATCCCACAGCAGATGGGATACGCCCCAATAGAGCTGACACCTCTGAACAAGCTTGGGTGAATCTAGACAAGGGACAACATGATGATAGTAGTAGTAGGAGGGGGAGGAGGACATACCGGAAAATGTTATCAATGAAGAGTAATACATCTTGACCCTCCTCATCACGGAAGTACTCAGCAACAGTAAGACCAGTAAGGCCAACACGAGCACGAGCTCCTGGGGGCTCATTCATCTGGCCATAGACCAAAGCAGCCTTGCTGCCTGGTGCCTTATCCTTCTTAATAACACCACCAGCAATCATCTCATGATACAAATCATTACCTTCACGAGTACGCTCACCAACACCTAAGTAGTATAGGGTGGAAAGTAGGGATGTAGTACGGCTAGTTATTACCAGCAAAGACAGAGAAACCACCATGCTTCATAGCAATATTATTGATAAGCTCCATAATAACAACTGTCTTACCAACACCAGCACCACCAAAGAGACCAATCTTACCACCCTTGGTGTATGGTGCTAACAGGTCTACAACCTATGATGAAAGATGAAGTATGATTAGCCTCATACTACTAAGTTGAATTACCTTAATACCTGTATACAACTGTCTAGCAACAGTATCCATCTCAGAGAACGTAGGAGCTGGTCTATGAATAGGCCATCTGCAATAACAAGAATAAGAGATATCTACCATCATATGCACTACTACGCATAGAGTATTACCTGGTATTGCACTCAATAGGACCCAATTCATCGATAGGTTCACCTATCACATTCATAATACCTAAAAGCATACATACAAAAAGGAACACCTATGGAGTAGTCATTTACGTCCAAGTGTCCCTTGACCAACAGGGACTGATATAGGAGCACCAGTATCCACC